GGTGGGGGGGGGGCGGAAGGAGGGAGGAGGGAGGGAGAGAGAGAAAGAGAGAGAGAGAGAGAAGGAGGGCGGGCGGACGGAGGGGGAGGGTGGAAGGGAGGGGAGGGAGGGAGAGAGGGAGAGGAAGAGAGACCGAACAAGAGCCTTTGACTGTATTTTCACGAGGAGCAGGCCACTTTCAAGCTTGCTTGGTTGTATCCTGTCTCGTTTGCTCTTCTACACACCCTGACTGCCAAGTCCCTCTTGATTGCTACTTCAAAGAGATGTCTAGATAAAGCCAAACAAACTGAAGCAAGCAGCATTGTCTTGAAATGGCCCCTGCTCTCAGCTCTGAACACACAGCTGTGGTGTAAGTTCAAATTTGCTTAGAGACAGGTTGTGTGTTCCATTTGCTAGGGGACCCACTCTCCTTCGGTTCTCAGTCACCCAACCCTGTGTGATGGGTGTAGTCGACCGGTAAGCTGGAATTAACCAGACCGGCTCAAAAACAACAAATATAATTTAATAATTAGAAATGGGGAAACTCACACGACCAGGGTCCAGCGAGCACCAAGAGAAGAGAGTGTACCTGGATTCCCAGGTCTTTTTTCCCTGGCCCCAGGCGGCCACGCCCTAGCCAAATGTGATTGGCTGAGCTTCCCCATCACCTATGGCTTTCTAGGATCTACCAATTCATTGATCCTGTATACTCTGACAAAGAGAGCCAGGTGGGACTGGGTAGGAGAGCTTTGAATTCCTACCTGTGTAATACAGGCAGCAGGCTCAAACAACTGCAACACCTTTGAATCCCTTCTTTCTCCTCAGGGTGATTCCGGAGGACCCCTGGTCTGTGACATTGATGGTGTCTGGATCCAGGCAGGGGTGGTGAGTTGGGGAACCGATTGTGCCCTTCCCAAGAGACCAGGTGTTTACACCAACGTCAGCGTCTATACCTCATGGATTACGAACACAATGTGGAACTCAGCCCTAGAAGTGAAGAGTTTCTCTCCGAGCCTTGCAGGGACCTCAGTCTCTGGCCTGTTGCTGTTCCTGGCATCCCTGGCTAGCACCTTATGCTTCCTGGGGCCCTAACCTGCAACCTCAGTATCCCAACCCCTGTACTTGGAACTTTTGTCCTCTCTCTGCCCCCAGGCTAGAGCGGCTTCTCTCAGGGACCCCCTTCTTGTGCTCTCCTTGCATAGCCACATAAGCGTGCCCTTATGTGGTCCGTGGTCTGCTGTCCAGGGACCCTCTCTTCACTCCCACATCGTTAAGACCCTTGGGACCATCAGCTAACTCTGGTCTCCTGGCCCCCAGGGGCCCTGAGCAGAGGAGGTCTTTGAATTTCCAGGAGCGGAGGCACAGGAATCTCTCTTGCCTCTCACTCCAGGGCAGAGCCCAGGGTGCAGCCACCTTTCAGGGTATCCTTTGGTGGCGTCTGTGACTGGCCTGATCTCTCTAGAGTGAGCCTGAATGTGAAGCAATAAATACTGGATACAGCAGGATAGTTTCCCACTGCGTGGTTCCTCCTGTGCCTATGAACACCCAAGGATGCTCCTGCATGCCCCCCACATAGCGTGCGTCACCCGCAGAGTGTCGCTAGGTCCTTGGCACTCCTGTGTGCACATTGCTCTCAGCCCCATCACTCAGAAGCGGGAAAAAAAAAAAACGAGGGTTGGAAACTCAAGCTTGTTCTGGTCTTCTTGGCTCAGCATCCTTCCTTCTAGGAATGGCAGAGCGGGCTTCCTGAGGAGTTTGAGGCCATTGGTAGAACTGGGATACTATCAGGGTCATGAGTAAGGCCTGGGGTGACTTTCAGGCTCGTGGGTGTGAGGTAAATCCTAAAGGTCATTGGTAGGACTGAAGCGAATCCCAGCATTCCTGGCAGGTGTGAGGCCCAATCTCCAGGCTATGAGCAAGGATGGTGGTGGTGGGTCAGGCCTGTGCCTGCCTGGGCTGGGCAGGTGAGATGCCAGCTCACACCTCTGGGTGTGAATAGTCCTGCAAAGGTGACAAGCAGGTGTTGCTTTCAACCTCTGCCCTCCCCTGTTCTGTTGCTCCAGAGAAACCTGGAAACTGCCTGGGAGTATGAAACCTCAGCTGGAGGACGGCCCTCAGGCGGCAGCCCAGGCAGTGGTGGAGGTGTGAGAGGGGGAAAGGAGGGGATAGGAGGTGGGGAAAGACCAATTGTGTTTGTGATTGGGAGCCTCAGCCTGCCCCAGGATACCCCTCTGACCCAGTGGTCCCAGGGTACCGTAGCCCTTTGAGTCCCAGATCTCCTTTGCCTCAGATCCACATATAGAAGAGCCACCATCAGCCTTGTTTTCCCCCAATTCCCATCTCTGGTGCTTTATCAACATGGACACAGGCTCCCGGCTGCAGCCTCCTCTGGTGTGCCTGTGTCCCCAACACTCCTTTTGCCTGCTGTGACAGGAGTGTCAGCCTCCAGAGCTACCCCTGCTGGCTGGTCAGACCCAGAGGCATCCACAGGCACCCTGGGCATCTTACCTACACATGGGAACAGGGCTTGCAGTGATGACGGTGATGGGGCCTGACAGCCAGCCCCGCCGAGGTAAATGTCTGTTTCCAGATCAATCACTCACTCAGTCAGACATCACTATGATCATGGCATGGTTCTCATGTTCCCGAGTCTCTTCTTCCTGTCACAGCTGAGGCTCTCTCCCCAACCTCTGTGCTTACTGGCTGGGGTACACGGAGGAGTATGGCTTGCTTTCTCCTCTCATGAACGGCTTTCTTACACACTGCCCGCCTGGGGCATGGCTTCCAGTAGTTACTGTCCACTTTCTCAGGAGCCCCATTGGGTGGCAGCCTAATGAGACAGAATAGAGGGGTCAGAGAAGAAAGTGCCAGGCCCCTCAGAGGTTCTTCTGAGCTTCTCAGATTCTGTTTGTTTGTTATTTTTACAAGACAAGGTTTCTCTGTGTAACTTTGGAGCCTGTCCTGAAACTCGCTCAGTAGACCAAGCGGGCCTTGAACTCACAGAGATCCGCCTGCCTCTGCCTCCTCAGGTGTGCCCCACCACCGCCCAGTGAACTTCACAGATTCTGTCTCAGGATCCAAAGAGGAACGTCTGAGGGCGGCTGAAAGCTCAGGCACAGCCACTCCGAGGCCCCTTGGCCCTAGGGACTCTGACAGCCTGTACCTTCCTTTTCCTTTTCCATTTCCCCAGTTCTTCTTTTTCTTTCTTTCTTTCTTTCTTTCTTTCTTTCTTTCTTTCTTTCTTCCTTCCTTCCTTCCTTCCTTCCTTCCTTCCTTCCTTTCTTTCTTTCTTTCTTTTGTGTGTGTGTGTGTGTGTGTGTGTGTGTTTGTTTTTCAAGACAGGTTTTCTCTGTATAACAGTCTAGCTATCCTGGAACTAGCTCTTGTAGACCAGACAGGTCTCAAACTCACAGAGATCCGCCTGCCTCTGCCCCCTAAGTGCTGGGATTAAAGGCGTGCACCACCACCGCCCGGCATTTCCCCAGTTCTTTCTTTATCATCAACTCTTCAACTCAGCAGATATTCATCCGGCAAACACATCCCACATGGCGCTCACCAGGGGAGATCTTTCTGGCTCTTTAGTTTGGGGCAGTAGGGTAGATGGCTTATAGGGTCTCTAGGGTTCATTTTTGTTATGATCAGGGTGCAGAGGGCCCTGCCGAGGAGATACCGCTAGCACAGGGATCAGAAGGCCAGGGAGGTGCCAGTTCCGTAGCTGTCTGGGAGATAGTCTATAGTCCCCTGGTAGCTGGGGCAGATGCAGGCCTAACTGTGAAAGGATGGCCTGGGGCCAGAGATGGGAGAGGAGTCAAGGAACTGGGTAGGGCCTGTGAGACACTTAGTGGATAAAGCCAATTGTCACTCAGCCTGAGACCTCATTTTGTTCCCTGGGACCCACATGGTAAAAGGAGTACTCAACTTTTGTAAATTGTTCTCAGCACCCCCCCCCCAATTAGGAACAAAAAAGCTCGGACAGCCTGCGAGGTCAGGCTGGGACCTGAGGCCTGAGCAACCCCTTGGGCTGCAGGCAGGATTGTCACCCAGTCTCCCAAGAGGGTAGCTGGTCCTGTGCCTGGGTGGTGAGCTGTGCTGGGTTGTGGCAGCAGGGGGCACACAGAGGAACACACAGATGGCTGAGATGCAAATGCTAGGGTTCCTGGGAAAAATCTTGGTCTTTCCCTACGCAATGGACCTGGTCCCCTAGCCTGCTGCCTTAGGACCCATTCTGCTCTTGAGTGTCTTGGCCAGCTCCTATGCCCACTGGCCCTTTCTTGGCAGGAGGAACAGAGGACAAACATTTGAGTTAAGGAGACCTTGGCTGTTGCTACACCAGCACCTTTAGGGGTCACCATTTGGGAATGCTCCCTAAAGTGCCTCCTGGTGAAATCCCTGGGTGACTGCTCCTGCCTTGCCATCAAGCTTAAGGCTCAGAACTCCCAGGAAGTAGATACCCTCGACAGAAGAAATGCCTTGACCAGAGAGAGCCCCCGAAGGCAGGCTGGGGACTATGCCATTCTCCCAATTCCGCTGTGTCCTGGAGGAACTGGGGGCTCAAGACACACAAAGGACATTGAGTGGGGACAGATCCTATGATCATTAATCTTTTTTAAATATTTATTTATTTATTATGCATACAACATTCTGTCTGTGTGTATGTCTGCAGGCCAGAAGAGGGCACCAGACCCCATTACAGATGGTTGTGAGCCACCATGCGGTTGCCGGGAATTGAACTCAGGACCTTTGGAAGAGCAGGTAAAGCTCTTAACCCCTGAGCCATCTCTCCAGCCCCCTAATCTTTTTTATTCATATCTTGAGACAAGATTTCTCTGTTATGTAGCTCTGGATGTCCTGGAGTTCATTATGTAGACTAGGGTAGCCTTGAACTTACAGGGATCTGCCTGTCCCTGCTGGGATCACAAGTGTGTGCCATCACACCCCGCCAGTGATGGTGAATCTTAATATTTACCTTGACAGCCTTGAGAATCACCTAGATTATAGGTAGCAAATATTTTTCTGGGTGTGTCTCTGAGGGCATTTCCAGAGATAATTTGATGTCCAGGGTTCTGACCTAAGGAATGAAGCAATACCTTGATATATTTGTAACATGATGGCATTATTAGGAGATGGTAAAATTAGGTGTGGTGGGCATGTGGTGGTGGCGCATGCCTTTAATCCCAGCACTCAGAAGGCAGAGGCAGGTGAATCTCTATGAGTTCGAGGCCAGCCTGGTCTACAGAGTGAGTTGCAGGACAGGTTCCAAAGCTACAGAGAAACCCTGTCTTGAAAAACAAAAACAAATGAACAAAATATAGGTGTGGTGATTTGAACAAGAATAGCCCTCATAGGCTCATATATTTGAATACGTGGTCCCCCATTAGTAGCAATGTTTGGGAAGGATTAGGAGGTGTGGCTTTGTTGAAGGAGGTGGGCTTGGAGGTTTCAAAAAGACTCCATCATTCCCGGTTAGTTCTTTCTGCCTCATGCTCATGTCTCAAGATGTGAACTCTGAGCTGCTGCTCAGGCACCATGCCTGTTGCCTGCAGCCATGTGTCTGCTGCAATGGTCATGGCCTCTAGCCCTCTGAAACTGTAAGCTCCAAATAAACTCTCTTTCCTGGAAATTGCATGGGTCATGGTGTCTTATCTCAGTGTAGAAAGCTAACTAACTGAGCTGGTAGCTAAGACCTAGCAGGAGGAATGGTTTTACTGGGGTGCTGTCCTTTTAGGGCTGTATCTTGTTTCCTTTTTTTCTTTATTGTGCTCTGCCACACCTTCCCTGCCATGACAGCCTCACACCTCTCAAACTGTGAGCTGATACAAAATCTTTCTCCCTCAAGTTCTGTTTGGTGTTTTGATTATAACAAGAGGAAACTAATACAGACTTCCTCCAGGGGTCACAGGTCACTGGGATCCTGAGATGGACAGCCCGGTGGTGTCTCTTTTCCTTTCATACACTTTTCTTGACCCCTGGACAAGAAAGCTACTAATGAATTAGTCAGTTTATTATTATGTATGTGCATGGTGTGCTGTGTTACACCTGCCGCAGCCCAAGGGTGGCGGTCAGGGGACAGCATTTTGCAGGTTAGTTCTCCCCCTTTACCCTTAGGTGGGTTCCAGGATCAAACTCAAATTGAAAGACTTTTCCCAAGTTTGTCCAAGGCAGTGTCAGCCTTCATCAGTATTTAATCCAGGGAGGCTAGAGTGAGGCTCAGTGGCTGTGCTCTTGCAGAGGACCCAAGTTTGGTTCCCACCATCCACATCCATCTCCAGCTCTAGGGGATCTGTTATCTCTGGAGTCTGAGGGCACTTACACTCACATACACATACTCCTGACTCCACTGCTGTACACATCATTTCACAAAATCCCTAGGTATGGAGATGGCTCAGCCGTTAAGAGCACCCGCTCTTTTAGAAGTCCTGGGGTCATTATGGATGGTGTAACGCCAATTCCCAGATCTGATGCCTCCTGGTTTCCACTGGTTCCATATATGCATTCGTTGCACTTATAGGCAGGCAGGCAAACATTTAAACACATGGGCTGGAGAGATGGCTCAGAGGTTAAGTGCCCTGGCTGCTCTTCCAGAGGTCCTGAGTTTAATCCCCAGCAACCACATGGTGGCTCACAACCATCTGTAATGAGATCTAGTGCCCTCTTCTGGCATGCAGGCAGACATGCAGGCAGAACACTATACATAATAAATAAATTTAAAAAATTTAAACACATACAACTAAACTTTAAAATCTTTTTATTTTTGTTCATATTTATATGCGTGTGCCTAGAAGCCAGGAGGCCTAGAGCTGCCGTCACAGGGAGTTGTGAGATGCCCAACACCGGTGCTGGGAACTGAACTTCGGTCCTGGGGAGAAAAATACGTGCTATTAACCACTGAGTCATCGCTTCTGACCCATAAAATAAATACGCCTTAAAAAAATCAATTCATAATAAGAAAACATAGAGGACTATTCAGGGAGAAGGAAGCAGAATAAATGGAGGAGAGGGAAGAGAAGCTATAACCAGAGCAAGATGAACTTCACTTGTTTTCACTCAAGTGGATCTTCATTTGATACTCTACTCTCTTTTAAATTAAAAATCTAGTCGGGTGGTGGTGGTGCACACCTTTAATCCCAGCTCTCGGGAGGCAGAGGCAGGCAGATCTCTGTGAGTTTGAGACCAACTTGGTCTACAAAAGCTAGTGCCAGGTCAGCCTCTAAAGCTACAGAGAAACCGTGTCTCGAAAAACCAAAACCAGGAAAAAAAAATCTATGTGTAAGAGTCTTCTGCCTCAGTAGGGCGTGGTGGTGCACACTTTCAATCCCAGAACTCGGGTGGCAGAGGCAAGCAGATCACTGTGAGTTTGAGGCCAGCTTAGTCTACAGAACAAGTTCCAGGACAGCCAGAGCTACATTGTGAGATCCTGTCTCAAAAAAAAGAAAAAAGAAAAACCAAAACAAAAAAGTTTTTGCCTGTGTGTATGTATGCATGTGTATATGTGTATGTATGTATGTATGTATGTATGCATGTATGTATGTGTACCACATGTATCAGGGGTCAGATCCCCTGGAACTGGACTTAGTTATGTTTATGAGCTGCCATGTGAGTGCTGGGAGCTAAACTGGGGTCCTTGGCAAAAGCAGCCGATGTTCTTACCCGCCAAGCCTCCTCTGCCCTCCACTAATATTCTGAGGAGTTATTTGGAGGGAGCGCGGTGGGAGGGGCCAGGAGAGAACGCGGGTGAGCGTGAACACAGAATAATGATGCACACAGGATGGAAATGGCAACACAACCCTTTGTTTTGTATATTAGTGAAGAAATCAATTGAAAAATGAAGAAGAAAGGGTTCAATCCAGAACTTGATCCTGAGCCTGTCCATGTGAAGGGTTATCCCCAGCAGCCAAGACACCAGTCCACAGAGACATCTGCCAACGGATGAATGGACAAAGAAATGTGGTGCAGATGCACACAGACATTGTTCGGTCAGTTGTTCACAACATGGATGAGACTACAGGACACTGTACACGCACATTAAATCAGACACAGGGTAAATACTAGAAGGTGCAAGGCTCCGAGGTCCATCCCATCACAATAAAACAAACATACCTCCCCAACCTAGACAAAAATCAAACACCATAAAAGTTGATCTCAAAGTACAGAACCAAACAGTGGTAGCCAGAGTTTGGGAAGTGTGGGAGAGGGGAATGGTGGAGGATGGTGAGCCATAGGAGGCCGGGGTAGGAAGAGGAGTAATTTCTAGAGTGCCATAGCAAGGTGAGGGGAACTATGGGTGGCAGCAATTTACTGATTATTTCAGAATAGTGGAGAACATTTTCAATATTTCCAACACAAGAAAAGATGAACGTTTGATGGTGTGGATTTGCCATTTATTCTAAGCTGATGCTGCACATTTTGTGTCTGTACTGAAATACCATGCTAGTCAGGCATGGTACTAGATGCCTTTAACCCCAGCAATAGGGAGGCAGGAGTTCCAGACCAGCCTGTTTTACATTGCAAGTTCCAGGACATAGAAAGACCCTTTCTCAAAACACACAAACAGAAAAATGAAATAAAGAATGAATGAGGGAAACACCACACTGCACTCCATAAATATGTATAATTATGCAAGTTAAAAATAGAGGGTTGAGGCCTGGAGAGATGGCTCAGCAGTTGAGAGCCTTTGTTGCTCTTGCTGAGGATCTGGATTTGGTCCCCAGCACCCACATGCTAGTTTACAACCATCCGTAACCCCAGCTTCAGGGGAACACCCTCTTCTGACTTGTACAGGCCCTAGACATGCATGTGCTACACATACATACATACATGAAGGCAAAACACTCATACACGTAAAATAAAATTTAAAAGACGGTGATGATGGCGCTGAAGAGATGATTAAATGGTTAGGAGCACTTGCTTGCTCTTCTAGAGGATCCAAATTCAGTTTCAGTACTCACAGCTGGCCCACAAAGCCCGTAACTCCAGCTTTGGGGATCTGAGACCCTGTTCTTGACTCTCTGATAGCTACACATGAGTGGAACATACACAGAGACACTCACAAACATTTTTTAAAAAAGATTTACTTATTTTTGTGTGCACTGGTGCTTTGCCTGCATGTATGTCTGTGTGAAGGTGCCAGATCCCCTGGAACTGGAGTTCTAGACAGCCGTGAGCTGCCATGTGAGTGCTGGGAGTTGAACCCGGGTCCTCTGGAAGAGCAGTCAGTGCTCTTAACCACTGAGTCATTGGTGTAGGAGTTTCTTCTGTTTCTGTGTTGCTTTTATTTGGTTAACGAATAAAGGAACCACCTTGGCTTAGTTGATAGGGTGGAACTTAGGCAGGTGGAGAAAACAGAACTGAATGCTGGGAGGAAGAAGGGCAGAAGGAGAGAAGCCATGGATCCTCTGCCTGAGATGGACTCTGGTTGGAATCTCCGGTAAGCCACTGGTGTGTGGCAATACACAGATTAATGGAGATGGGTTAAACTAATATGTAAGAATTCGCCAATAAGAAGTTAGAGCTAACGGTCAAGCAGTGTTTTAATCAATACAGTTTCTGTGTGGTTATTTCAGGTGTAAGCTAAGCTGGGTGGCCGGGACAAACAAGGGGCCTCCCCTCCTCATACAACAAGCCATCTCTTCAGTCTCACAAACATTTAAAAAAAAAAAAAAGAGAGAGAGAGAAAATAAACCAGACAAGATGGTGCACACCTTTAATCCCAGCACTCAGTAGGCAGAGGCACGAAAATTTCTGTGAGTTCAAGGTCAGTCCAGTCTACAGAGAGTTATTGGACAGCTGGAGCTACATATGAAGATATGTCTTAACAAACACACAACAACAAAACAAAACCACAAAATCAAAAAGATTAAAAAAGAGTGGGAAATTAAATATTGAAGTAAAATACCTCTATATTTTTAAATTTTTGATAGTCTTTGCCTTTGTGTGCGTGTGTGAGTGCATGCATGTGTGTGTGTGTGTGTGTGTGTGTATGTGTGTGTGTGTGTGTGTGCAAAGGAAAGAAATCCTAGGAGGCACTGAGGAAGCTATGGCCATAAATTTGAGGGCAGAGTGGGACACAAAATGAATCATTGTCTCAAAAAGAAAAGCAAACAAGCAACGATAAAACCAAAGAAAATAGAGAAGAAAAAAGAAGAGTAAATACATTAAAAGAAAAAAAGATTTCACAAGGAGGAAGGCCATTAAAGATAAACTTGCCGCCAGGGGGCAGCCTAAACCAGCGGGACTCTGCCGGTTGCTCAGGCCCTTCTCTTTCCGCCAAGAAAGTCCTGTGAAGGAGCAAGCTCTTGGCTGATTCCATGAGGGGTAGGTCTCAGAAGTGCTCATGGAGCTTCCTGGGGGCCTCTGGCTAAGGGTCAGCGGTTCTATCCTGGAGGAAGTTGTGGGCGGAGGACAGAGGGCACCCCTGAGCTCAGATGACACAAGGTCTGCTCGGGTTCCCTGGTTGCTGTGTCATATCAACAGCTTTTATGGACGTCCTGGATGACAGTGCCAGGGCATCATGGTCCCCAAACAGCATTTGGGCCTAAGGAGCTGCCTCTCCCCCGGTGGGCGCGGGCCTGGCCCAGCAGGAAGTAAGAGAGAGTGCCAGGCGGCGGGAGAAGTGGCCATGGGCGCGTGGGGCAAGACGTTGGTGCCACTGCTGCTGCTGGTGGCGGCGGTGGCCTCACAGTCAACCCTTTTGCAGGTGGAACCAGAGAATCCCTGTGAGCTGCTCTGGGGGTACTGTTGTGGGATTGGGGGCGGCGATAGGGAGATGGGGAGGTGAAGGTGAAGTGTCTCGCATTCTCTCACTTCATTGCAGTATGGCAGGAAGCAGACCTATTGTCAGGTAAGGGGATCAGAACATGCTTCCTGCGTGGCGGGCCTGCACTGGGGTGCGCCTCAACCATTCCTCTCCTTCGCCCCAGGATCGAGAACTCAAGTGTGTTTGCTAGTAACGGCCCCCGGGGGTGGGGGTGGGGACAGGTGCACACGGATCACGTGGGGAGTGTCCCAGCGAATCCTTAGGACTTCCGTCCCTCCTCATGCCCTTCAGTTATAAAGAGTGAGTGGTGTGTGTGGGGTGTGTGTGTGTGTGTGTCTGCTCAGTCTGTTCCTCCTCACAGGACCCTGTGGTCACAGGACCGTCCCTCCACGTATAGTGGGTGGCGATGACGCAGAGCTTGGCCGCTGGCCATGGCAAGGGAGCCTGCGTATATGGGGTACCCACTTATGTGGAGCGACCTTGCTCAACCGGCGCTGGGTGCTTACAGCTGCCCACTGCTTCGAAAAGTGAGTGTGGGGTCAAGCCGGGCAGTTGAGGGCTAGGGAGTTGGGGCCTGGGTAGGCATTTTAGTGTAGTCCCAGGAGTAGCTGTGATAGGTTAAATCTATAAGGATTTATAACATAATGTCCCTAGAGGCAACCCTCTCCCAGTTCTTCTAGAATGTTCTTTCAGGACACTCTCTGTCCCTCTTCTACCTCCCCTTCCTTCCTCAAGTCCTTCCCAAATATCCCCACACTGATTCCACCTTTGCTCAGCTCTTTTGGGGGCTGCACAAGGATTCCCTTAGGCCCAGCTGCTCTCTTTAGGACAGTTCTAACAGACGGCAAGACCACTTTTCTGCTCTCCCACTCCCAGTGCCCAGGAGCAAGGACTGTTTCCAGCCTGTCTGGATTCTGTGCTTCCTATAGAAGGCTTCTGGGCCCACAAGAAGGTCTTGGCAAGTATGCTAAGAATGAGCATCCTTACAGAGAGGCACCACAGAGAGAGGCCCAGGTGAACTCAGGTGACCTGTCTGCTCTCTCCTTCTCTGGCAGGAATAGTGATCCCTTTGAGTGGACAGTCCAGTTTGGCGAGCTGACTTCCAAGCCATCTTTCTGGAACCTACAGGCCTATTCCAACCGTTACCAGGTAGAAGATATCTTTCTGAGCCCCAAGTATACGCGGTCATATCCCCACGACATCGCCCTGCTGAAGCTGTCGTCTCCTGTCAACTACAACAACCATATCCAGCCCATCTGCCTCCTGAACTCCACATACAAGTTTGAGAACCGAAGTGACTGTTGGGTGACCGGCTGGGGGACTATTGGAGAGGATGAAAGTGAGGCTGGGAACACACGGGGTCGGGGGGGGGGAGGCACCTCCCCATTCTTCCACACCAGTTCCTCCCTGGACTCTGCCACTGCAGTGAGCCCCTCTCCTCCACCACACAACATTTTCTCATCGATTTTTCTTACTTCTGCTTGCCAGGAGGTCAGGAGGCAGCCCTTTCCTTCCAGACAGGGTGCAGGCTGTAGCTCAGGGGTGCCAGGAGGCCTGCAGGGGCGGGGGGATCCCATAGGACCCACAGGGAAACTTCCACAGTATCGTATTTATGATCTCTCTACTTCTGCAGTCACCCCCATCCGTGAGTGTCAGGAAGCACGCTTCTCCATGTTCCACCCACCCCGATTCTGACTGTGCACGCCTTACAATTAATTCCCAAGTCATTTCCCTCCACTCCGTACTCACCACTGAAATCCCTTTGGAGGTCCTTGGAGGACATCATCAAACACCTACCTGCAATTCAACAGGAACACTTCCCCTCAAGATGCACTGATCACAGTATCCTCCTAGCCGCCTTGGGGCCTACAACCCCATAGCCTGGGCATGCCTTTTGTGTCCAGAGTGACCCTGCTCAGTGGCCCATTTCTGCAACGTCCCCTAATAAGACTGGCAGTGAGAGAGTCATCTCCTCTCCTGCATGGCATGCGCTTGACTCTGTTACAGGCTTGGGAACCCTGGTGCAGCAAAGCGGCAGCGTAACTAAAAAAATTCATCTTCTTATTATTTTTTGTGCATGGGTGTTTTGCCAGCACGTGGATGTCTCGGATCCCTGGAGCTGGAGTTGTAGACAGGTGTGAGCGGCCACACCAGTGCTGCAAATTAAACCTAGGCCTTTTGGACCGGGCTCCCGATCCTAGCAGCATAATTTTTAAAAGGGGGTTTTAAATATTTTATTTAATTCATATGTGTGTGAGTGTATCTGAGTGTATGTGCACATGTGTACAAGATGCCCACAGAGGACAGATGAGGATATGGAACCCCCAGGACTGGAGTTACAGGTGTTTCTGAGCCTCTTAGCATTGCTGGGGTTCCCACTTCTGTCCTCATTACTGAGAAAGTGCTCTCAATCACTGAGCCATCTCTCCAGGCAGCTTTAAAGGGATCACATCTATTTTTTTTAATATTTATTTATTTATTATGTACACAACATTCTGTCTGTGCGTATGCCTGCAGGCCAGAAGAGGGCACCAGACCTCATTACCGATGGTTGTGAGCCACCATGTGGTTGCTGGGAATTGAACTCAGGACCTTTGGAAGAGCAGACAATGCTCTTAACCACTGAGCCATCTCTCCAGCCCCTATTTGTTTTGTTTTTGAAACACTTATTTTTTTTTTTAAAAGGGCCAGTGCCAGGTGGTGGTAGCACCTGCCTTTAACCCCAGCACTTGGGAGGCAGAGGCAGGTAGGTCTCTGTGAGTTTGAGGCCAGCCTGGTCTACAAAGAGAGTTCCAGGACAGTGAGGGCTACACAGAAAAACCTTGTCTTGAAAAGCAAAGCAAAAATATTTATTTTACTTGTTAAGTGTTTATGTGCTTGAGTGTATCTATGAATACCACATACATGCAATACCTGCAGAGACCAGAAGAGGGTTTCGGCTCCTCAAGAACTGGAGTTACAGGTGGTTGTGAGCTGCCTGTGGGTGCTGGGAACGGAACCCAAGTCCTCTGCAACAGCTGTCAGCGCTCTTAACAGCTGAGCCTTCTCTCCAGCCCTGGTTGTTTCCTATGTGATGGGGGGGGGGCGCAAATTCACACAACGGCTCATATGTGAAAGCCAGGGAGAGCGTCCGAGAGTTGTGGGTCTTGGGGATCAAAACCAGACTTGATGGCAAAGGTCTTTACTCACTGAACCGTTTCATCTATGCAACAGTGTATTTTTACGTCCACTTTATAGCTGAGGTAATTGTGGGTATCATGGAGAGTGTCCAAGGCCCCAGAACTAGGAGGTGAGGCCAGGGTTCCATGGTGCAGACAGTGTAAGGGAAGTGGCAGGGAGAATGGAGAACCCGACGCTGAATCTGCTTGCTAGGCAGGAGTCCAGTCCTTCTCCTAGAGGGTTGTGAGCCCAGGAGCCCACCCAGGCCCACCTCGCTGCCTATGCAGAGCATAGGTCACGGTGGCGGGTGGCAGCATAGGGGGCATTTGTCTCCTTGAGCCTTGGCTTCTCTCTTCCCAGTACACAGATGCAGGCAGCAGGCCCTTCTGGTTTTGATATAGGCTCTGTTCACCCTGCAGCTGGGGCAACGGTATCTTTGGTTCTGCTAGCTGGGACACGCTGAACAAGACACTTGGCTGAACTATGCCTCAGTTTCCTCTTCTGTGGAATAGAATAATGGAAGCTCTGGCTTCTGTGAGCACGCTGAGATCTGAGCTCTTAGAGAGCTCTCAGCAGACAGGAGACACCCGCTGTTGCCACCCCTGCAGAGTCAGACAGTGCTAGGAGCCTAGACTCAGGGGCCCAACATCTGGGAGTCCTCATCGGGCTCCGACAGTTCACTAGTGCCTTTTGGGAACGGGGCTCTTCCCCAGAACTGTTTTTAAAATAATGTATCCTGATGCTGTTATATCCTAGAGGTATTTTAGGCTCTTGGCTTAGGCCTAAGAAAAGCCTAGAAGGAAAGGGCATCACAGAGCTGCTACCCTGGTCCAGTACCTGGATGTCTTACAGGACTTGGCTGCTGCATCCACTGTCTTTCTTCACTATCACAGCCCCCTCCCCGCCCTGTACATATTTTGGTTACATGCTCACATATTTTGGTTACATGCTCACATATTTTGGTT